TGTCAGCAACCAAGATGAGTATTACAAAATTTTCAAGTGTCCAAAGATTAGAAAGAGAAATCGAGCCTCGTTCTAAAAGGAATATTAGTAACACAAGTATTAGCATGTATCATATGGAAAATAAGGGATAAATGGAAAATCAGAAGTATCAAGTGCAAATTTGCCGACGAGGGGTCATCAACGTATCATTAAAATAAAGTCTTAGTTTTAATTTCTGTTCTGAAGAAGGAGGAAGACTGTGTTTTTCTCTTCTTCTTGCTTAATGTAACGACACAAATTTACAAGTAAATTTCTGTGCTACATAAAGCAAGAAGAAGAGAAAAACACAGTCTGTGTGTTAAATAACCGCCACCACTACACATAATATATCTAACAACTCACATGAAAATAACTGAAGGCGACTTAACTGGAAAATATAAAATTGAATTAAAATATTTGTTTGAAATATCATGGACATTACCTGTGATCCTCGATGCCAATGTACCGCGGGCATCGCTACATGCAATGTGCAAATTCTAAAAATATACGAAAAAAAAGTTAACTTTTTGTTAAAACTTTTATGAATGGAACACTTATAAACGCAACAACAATGAACAATTATTGGCGAAACATGTTTAAATTTTAAACAAATGTCTATTTTTTTTACAATTATATATAAATAAAACAAAACACAAAACAATTTAACACTCGTGGTTGTTCAATTTTAGTTTTATATGCGTAAACGAAAAATACAAAACAGTTTAACACTTTTGGTTGTCCAATTTTATTTTTATATGCGTAAACAAAACACAACAAAACAAAACTAAGCACGCCAACATCAATTTTATTTCTTTTAATATTTCTTTTCTTTTCACATTTAAGTTGGTAAAAATATTAAAATCACAAAATATATATATTATACCTCGTTTTAATTATTATTAAATTAATATTATATATTTTATTTAAAAGAACCACACACAAACGTTGTAAAAAGTACTAAAAAAATCACGGCGAAGCAGAAGAAGTGAGAAAACAGTAGAACACAAAGTTCAACTTCACGGCGAAGTCAAGTACAGCAAAGAATACCGGTACGCTACACCAAAAAGCTTCGGTATGCTCGATATAAAAGGAGGCGCATTTCGTATAATAGGGGACTTGGTTTGCGACAAGTAAAAGAGCAAGTACTCTGGCTCATTGAGCCTTCTGGTAAATTTTACCAAAACTTGAAATTTTACTTTTCCTGGAACAAGTACACTGGCCTATTGGTCATCTGGCACATTGTGCCACAAATCTGGTTCTTTGAGTCAAACGTAGTGTAAAATTCCTTTCCTGTCTTATATGTATTTTTTTTAACCTGGCTTATTCGGTCAAATAGTTTTTTACAGCACGGAGGAAACGTTTTGTTTATTTTTTTATCAACAGAAGAGGGGCTTAAGAAGTCACACGGGTTTTGCTAAGATTCTTTTAACAAGGAGTATATGGAGAAGTGGGAAATTTTGGCATCAACATAATTTTTTTTTTATTTATTATTAGAAATGTTTCCAATGAATTTTAATTAAACTCATAAGCTTAATCATAAGCTTTATGAAATAAATAAAGTTATATATATAATTTATACATATAAATCACGTTCTGTTTTCTTCTAAAACCAACGTCTCGGCAAAATTATAAATATATTGTCACGACTCTGGACGACGGCTGAGGATACCCCAGCAAAAACTAAAAATTTTTGAACGTCACCAAAAGTGTCGTTACATGTTATTTGAACACTTTTTGATTCATTTAGTTTTATCCTTCATTTAGCCAATCACTCCTCAACAAGACACAGATGAAGTGACAAATTCTGAGAGGCCATTTTGGGGTTTCTATGTACACTAAGGATTGCAGTATCGTGTGCAAAAGTTTAGATTTTATGATTAAAAAGGAGAGGAAGATCGGCTGTGTATAGTAAATATAAAAACGGCCCAAAAACACTTCCCTGAGGAACACCTGCAATTATTTGAACTTCTCTTGAAGTAAAAGAGTTATGTTTCAAACGAAATTTTCTAGAAGTTAAGTAAGAAAAAAATAACCGATGCATGTTTTCAGGGAGTTTTAATTTAATTTTCGCAAGTAAGCCTTCATGTCAAACCTTGTCGAAAGCTTGAGCAACGTCCAAAAAAATGGCAGTGTAATGTTTTTTCTCGTGGAGAGCAGTGTGAATTTCACTTGCAATTCTGTGGACTTGTTCTATTGTTCCGTGATTTTTCCTGAAACCAAATTGGTGATAAGGTATTATTTTATGATGCATTATATAAGGTTCCAATTTAGCGAAAGTTATTCTTTCGAAGATCTTCGATAGGTGAGGTTTTGGAATCATTTTTATCAGAGAAACTTTTCATTGCTTTGGATAATAGCCAGTAGTAAGAATGTTATTAAATAATATGGTTAAAAATACAATTAAATTGTCAGGGAGAAGTTTTATCATTTTGCCTGTAATATGATCAAGACCTGGTGCCTTCTTAGGATTTGAATTTGTTTGAATTGCTTATTTTACTTCATAAATACTTAGTTTAATTGGAACTTGCACCTTTACTGGAAAATGAACTCTAGGGTGGAAGTTGACGATTTCTGGATTTGGTTGAAATATTGTTTTTAAGTGGTCAACTAGAAGAGATCCCTTTAAATTTTCACTTTTAGCCCATGATCCATCCAGTTTTCAGATGGGAAGATCATTTTAAATAGGTATTTTCAATTTTTTGATGCTTTCCACAAAGTATAATTTTTTATTGGGTCCAATATTCTCTAAATAGTGCTGTACTGCCAAATTTCTATGATTGTTTAGTGTATCTTTAAGTAATTTAGTGAATTCATTAAGTCTTTGTTTATCGTTAGGAGAACGAAACTTTTGCGATTCACGTGTTGCTTGTCGCTTTGCTAAAATTAACTTCTCAATTTCATTGTGAGAAACAACTTTCGAACGAGTGATTTTTCTGTAAGTTGAGGCATCTTTTATCGTATTGTTTATTGTTTTATTCAGTAATTCCACCGCTTTATCAATACTTGAATGACATCTAAGAGTTGTAATTTGAGGTATGCGATTCTGCATTATGTTAGTGTAATGTGACCAGCTGTTTTAAGCTAATTTTTTTTTGCGGATCTGACATTCTGTATCGTTTCTATTTAGTTTTAATAAAATTAAAATAACCGAAGAATGATCTGAGGATAGATCAAATAATGGTACTGCAGTTATATCTTTTCTACTTAGTGCCTTAATAACACCAAAGGTAATGAAGTCAGTTATTTTATGTTGATCAGTTTGTCAATACGTTGGTTGACCTGAGGAAATAATATCAAGATCATTCTTAAATGCCATGTAAAGCTGTCTGCCTCTTGGTGAGATTAGTCTCGAACCCCAAAAATGTATTTTGCATTAAAGTCACCAGCCGCTACAAATTTGGGACCTAACATATTAAAAAATGCATGAAATTGGGCCGTAGTTACAGTAAGCCATGGAGGACAGTAAATAGCAGAAAAAACTATTTTATTCCTCAGCGCACTGCAATTAGCAAAGAATCCAATCCTTCACAAGCGCACGAAGCATATTGATATCAAGTATTACCACATAAGAGAGGTTGTTGCACTTAATGAAATCAAATTAAAGTATATATCAACAAATGATAATGTAGCAGATATTTTTACAAAAAATTTAAAGTAATACTATGAAGTTTGTAAGAAAATATTTAACTTGAGAAAGAGTGTTAAAAAAACACTCTTTCTCTTGCTTGCTTAAAACAAGTTAAGCATTTTGAACATTATTGTGAATGTACCATCTCTTAAGAAGAAGGTTGGCTTTTATGTAAAATAACTTTCAGTTCCAAATAAACTTTAGATCCAAGCATACATAATTTTTGTACTTTAGTTTCTAACAGTTTTTTATTGTAAATATGAAATGTAAAAATATATTGGGGTTAAGTACAAATATAAATATGAATATTGTTAAGTATATAAATGCCTTATTTGTTGATAAAATTTTTGAGAATTATAAAGAAATTTTTGTGGTTTAGGAAAATTAAAGAATAAATGTAAATGTGAACTAATTATTACGCCAGAAATCACTCCAGAAATTGAGCCCCCAAGAAAGATTCCTTTTGGTTAATATGATGATTTAAAAAAAGAATTAATAAGAATGGAAATTGTAAATGTTATCACTAGTTAAAGTTAATGAGCCAACTGAATGGGGCATGTTGTTGACCAATTTTAACAGCGTAATGTAATTGTGTGTGCTTTAAAATCTTAAAACAAAACTTATTTATTTCTAGTACTTAAAATTAACTATTTTTTACTTACTTTTGTTCGCTCTCGAGTAGTCTGCACTATGGCGCTCCTGGTCTGCCCGTCCCGTGCTTTAATGGCACTAATTAGAATTCCTTTCGGCCATGTGTAGCGAGGAGAATTTGGGTCAACAATAATGACGACATCACCTGTTTCGATGGGTTTTATCTTACCAAACCATTTCGTCCGTCTTGTCATCGTTGGAAGCACCTCTTGTATCCATTTTTTCCAGAACCGATCGGCAAGGTATTGCGAATGTATCCAGGAGGATTTCACGTGCTCGTCGTTAGTATCAAACTTCCCCGGGGTCTTGTTCCCGGAAGATGACCCCAAAAAGAAATGATTCGGAGTTAATGCTTCTTCACTTGCTGTTTCAATCAACAAATAAGTAAGCGGTCTGCTATTTACGATTGATTCTACCCCGCAGAACAGGTTATGCATCTTTTCATCATTATTTTTGCTTGGGGGCTTATTATTGCTCCTAACACTGTTTTTATGGATCGCACCATGCGTTCCCACGCTCCACCCATGTGCGGCGCAGCTGGTGGAAGAAAAACCCATTGAGTTTCCGGACGTTCTCTATTGACTCTCGTAACTCCCTTTCAGCAGCTGCTAAGTTGGTTCCATTGTCACTATAGATGACATTCGGCACTCCTCTTCGGGCTATGAAATTTCGTATCACTATACAACACGATCTGGCTGACAGGCTATAAGCTATCTCCAAATGCACTGCTCAACACGTAAGGCATGTAAAAGCGCTTCACTGAGCGTCTTCCTACTGTTACAGTATACGGGCCAAAATAATTTATTCCAACATGAGAGAATGGTCGGGAGTATGCTGATAGTCGTGCTTCTGGTAACACACTCATCTCCGGCGGCTTTGGACTCGCATCACGAACCTTGCAATGTTGGCAATTATTTCTAACCTGCTTTAACAGTCTACGCAGTCCCAGAATGTCGTATTTCTGAAAGATTTCGTTAACCACCGTTTCATGATTTAAATGTTTCCATTTTCGATGATACCAGTCTACGATCAACTTAGTTATGTAGCTTTTCCTTGATAGTATAATTGGGAATTGGGTTGAATCAGCGATGCATGTGGCTTTATCTAAGCTACCTTTCATTCTTAAAACATTCTGTGCATCTATGAATGGTGAAAGTTTTCGCAAAGGGCTAATTTTAGAAAGAGTAATATTAGCGTCTCTACTTAATGCGGTCATTTCTTTCTTGTAATCCTGTAACTGGGCTGTCTGGTACAAAAAATTTTCACTCCATTTCAGTTCCTCGACTGACAAGCATTGGTTTACAGATTTCTTCTTTTTCATTTCATTAGTTGATAGTAAAAACATAAATCTTTTCACATAGGCCATGCATCGAACTAAACGTTCCCACTTTGAAAATCGGTAGACATCTATGAGAGGTTCCTCCTCTGCTACATGAGCCACCAACAATCGTTGCTTTCTGATTTCAGAATCTTCGTTATATTTCTGTACGCCAACATTATTTGGCCAACAAGTTTCTGCTTCATACAGGAACTTCGGTCCCTTATACCCAGGGTTTTTCCAAGTAAGGTCTGAATTACTAGTTTGTTTTGTAGCCAAGTCCGCAACATTTAATTTAGTAGGAATGTACCGCCATTGTTCCGCCTCGGACAACTCCTGGATTTCTGCTATGCGGAACATTACAAATTGTTTGTAATCTCGTGGGTCAGATTTTATCCACGATAGAACAGCCTTTGAATCGTTCCAATACGTTATACTGGTCACTTTGAAGTCTATTGACCTTTTGATGTTGTTTCCTAGGCGTGCTCCCAATTCCGCCACGAGTAGTTCCAGTCTTGGAATTGATATTGGTCGTAATGGTGCAACTTTTGCTTTAGAACATATCAAGGAAACATCTATGTTGTTGCGAATCTTCGCTCTTAGGTACACCACCGCTGTATATGCAACCTCACTTGCGTCCGCAAAGACATGTAATTCAATGGAGTCTGCATCCTTATTAACCGTAGCGAAGTAACATCTCGGTATCTTCACATTTTTCACACCGCCAAGCAGCGACAGCCATTTGTTCCACTCATCGACTAGCTCATTAGGAATAGCGTCATCCCAGCTAACTCCACTTCGCCAAACTTTTTGAAACAAAATTTTTACGTCAATAATGTAAAAGGTAAACACCCCTAAAGGGTCGAATATTGACATCATCAATCGTAGCAACTCTCTCTTCGTAGGTAATCTATATTCACTTAGAACATCCTCAGTGACTTTGGTAAACTTCAGATCAAATGTGAGCATATCAGTGTCGGTTTGCCAATGGATTTCCAATACCTTCTCTACCTCAAATGTATGGTCTATACGCCTTCCGGCCGAGCAAAATTGAAATTCCTGGCCTTGGTTACCTATAGCTTGCAGCACCGCGTTAGAATTTGAAACCCAATTGCGAATATGGAAATTTGCTTTTTTATGAATATTTCTAACCTCATTGACTAGATTAATCGCTTCCTCCACTGTGTCGACGCTATCCAGCATGTCATCTACATAATGCATTTGTAAAATACATTTCACTGCTAGCGGAAACTCGGTTTCGTATTCGCGTGCATTGCTATTTTTTACCAGATGTGCCAACGAAGGTGAACATGTTGCCCCAAAACTCATAACTAGTAGCAAATAAACGTCTGGGGGTCTGCTATCGTCACAATTTCTCCACAGGAAGCGTTGTGAATGTTGATCTTCTTCTTTCACGAGTATTCGATGAAACATTTCTTTTATGTCGCCACTTATACCAATTTTTCCGATTCTGAAATTAACAAGAACATCTACCAACGAAGTGAGCAGATCTGGACCTTTCTCCAAACACGCGTTTAACGAGACTCCGTCATATTGTGCAGCTGCATCCCACACTAGTCTTCGCTTTTGTGGTTTATTCGGATTACTGACTGTAAACATAGGTAAGTACCACTTATGTGGCTAATACCCCTCGGCTTCGTTAGGTTTCAGCTGGCGTATATAACCTTTCGACTTCATGTCGTCGATGTGATCACACACCCAGCTTTGCAACGTTACATTGGATTGCAGCTTGCGCTCAAAGCACTGAAGTCTACGCAGCGCCATTAAGTAATTATCTGGCATAGTAATATTATTTGATTTCCAAAGCAATCTTGCTACAAATTATTCACCATCTCTACTTATTTTTGATTGCATACTTTTTTGTTGTTCCAACTCCATATTTTTTAGTTTTTCTCGACTTTCAATAACGTTTTCATTACTGACAAAATCTTTCACTAAACGCTGCAAACTTAGATCATCATCGCATTCACAGATGTGTAAATTTAACGTTTTCCTAAGAGTATTAGGTTCGTGCTTAATTATTCCATATATTGTCCACCCGAGTCGAGATTTTGTTGCAGCTGGCTCATTCTTGCCTCCCTCTCAGAACTTCATTGGCATAGCTACCTCTTTATTGCTTAGGCCGATTATCATTCGAGGCCTAACATTTTGATACGATTCTACTGGTAGTTCCTTTAAATGTTTATACTTATCGGTAAGTTCTGTCATATTTAAAGATTGCTCGGGTAGTTCCAGCTTAGCTACTGAACGCACATTGCACAACGAATACTGTTTAACCTCGATTAATAAAATAAAGCCAGATATTTGTACAGAAATAAATGTTATTTGTATTCAATATTATGAATTTAAATATACGTATGTGCTATATTACATATGTTATATAGTAAAAAGTATGCATCAATAATTAATTTAAATGAATTACTTTATAAATAAAAAAAAGACATCCGTAAACTTCGCGCACAGTAAAAAATGTGTTAACTGAAACGGGAACCAACTCTCAATTTTTCAACAACACAACAGTAAAGCAAAGCGCAAAACGGTCGTTTTGCTCTCTGCAAGTGCAGCGAATTTACGAAATGAATAAAATCTACAGGGTGGAGCAGTCAAGTTAGATGTTTTGTTTTGCTCCAACAAATACCTTTTACCTTCTCATATTTTGGAGACTTGCAGGTTGACCAGCTCAGAATCAGGTTCCTTGCGTACCGTACCGTCTGTCCATCGTAAACAAAGATCTTTCGTTTCACCTTTAATCCGCAGTTGTCTTAATACGTCTTTTTCTATTAACGTTGGACCAGATCCGTCATCCAGAAAGGCATAAATGTTGCAGGTAACACCATTTCCATATATTGTTACTGGAACAATTCTGTACAGCTCTTGTGAAGTTAGTTGATGATGAACCGCTAACGTGTCATTTGCCCCACTTGCAGTTGAACTTATTTGTTTATGTAGCAATGGGTGATGTTTCATGTTGCAATTGTGTATACCGCACTCTCGGGTCTTCTTGCACGTTCGAAAATCATGCTGCAGTAGACATCTTCCACATAGTCTCATTTCACGCACTACGTCCCACCTCGCGTCTGTTTTTAGTGTTTTAAACCTTGCACACTTCTTCAACGCATGTGCCTCCTTCCAATAAAAGCATGATAGAATTTTGTGTTTATCGCCTACTGCATCCTGAGGTTCTTCTTCATGAAAATTAATGCGTTGCGCTTTGCCCCTTTCAGTATCTGCACTGGCTCCAGCACCAAAAACTGGCGATATATTACTTACTGCTTCTGCTAGTTCATATATCCAGTTGCCGAATGTTTTAAGTGTTACATTGATATTACGCGATGCAACAGCCCACTGCAATCGCATTTGCGGTGGTAGTTTTTCTACAACCTCTTGGATAAGCAACGGGTTCACTAAGTGTGAATGTAACTCTGAAGCTTCCATAGTTGCGATCAAATTTGCTTGGGTTTCCACCCTTGCAACTGAACCATCCAACTGAACACCACAACCTACGTTTGGTTTGCTGTCATCGTTGTTCATACCAACCTGATTCTTTACCCATTCTAACGTGCTATGTGTCCTTACCTCACTCATGCCTTCATTTTTAACATCATTTTCGTCTACATATTTCAGTATAATTGCATGTTTCTTCTCAATGTATTGCATTTCGGCTTTCCTTTGTTCTTCTAGATACTGCAGTTCGATTCTCATGCTGTTCCTTGACATGATTATTGCATTTATCGCAACTCCACGGCAAGTCTGCAATGCTGACATCCACGACCACGCATGCAAAATGACTCCATTGGTCACATGTGTCGCATTGCACCATCTTTCCCATTTCCACCTTTTTGCACACGGCACATTGTACAGTCGACTTCTGGCTGCCGGATGACATATTTTTCTTTTTGTATGTGTTCCAGATTAAAAGGATTTTTCCAGATTTCTTTCCAGGCAAATCGCCACAATATTTTTTTTTCTCGATTGCCGCAAGATTCTTACAGATTGCCACAAAAATTTTAAAATTTGTTGTTGACCAATTTTAACAGCGTAATGTAGTTGTGTGTGCTTTAAAATCATAAAACACAACTTATTTATTTCTAGTACTTAAAATTAACTATTTTTTACTTACTTTTGGTCGCAACAACCGCCTTGCGCATTCCGGAACTAAAACCCAAAGCCAAGCATAAATGACAATCAGATGACACATGAACTGACAGTTCATGTGTGCACTGGGTTGCATTTTCTAATTATAGTTGCACGGTTGCAACGACCAAAGCAAGTTTACAAACATTTTTGTGGAGTGGAGTTCTAACAGGGCAGTACTATTTTTTTTGTTTTTTTTTGTTTTTTCATTTCATTTTTTATTGATTCCTTCGTAACATAAGAAATTAACAATAAATTTTCAAATCTTAAACTAAATATAAAAATTTAAAACCGTAGCTTGTTATTTATAATCTTTTAAAAATTGATAATAATAACAATAGCAATAAAATTTATCAATAAATTTATCAATTTAGAAATAATTTAGTTATCAAAATATATTTTTTAAATAATAATAATAATAAATTCAAATTAAAATCAGCAGGTCAGTAGTTGTTTCTTTTTCAAACGTGAAGTTCTAAGTGTTGGAACTAAGTGTCTGGCTTGTGGGTTGGGATGTACACTAAGCTTGGTAAGATATTTGCCTCTGTATGCTCGGGCAACATCCTTTACTAGTGGGATGTTTAAATCCGTATGGATATTGGAGTTACCATGGGGCGTACCACGGGGCTCCTGTTATTTTACGTGTGATGAAGTTTTGCACTCTTTGAATCTTTTCAATATTTGTAGAGTAAGCTGAACAATAATAACACAGTTGTACAGTAATACTTTGTTTTCAAGACTTAGTTTACTATTTGGGTTCATAAGCCAGTAGAGCTGATTAAACTTTAATTTCATTTGTGTTTTCCTACTATCTATGTGCTTGCTCCAAGTCAACCTTCTATCAAGATGAGTGCCGAGATACTTTACGTCGTTTGCTTGCAGAATTGGAGTGTTGTTCAGCGTAACTTGTGGACAAGTCTCTTTTCTTAGTGCAAACGTTATTTGAACACTTTTTGATTCATTTAGTTTTATCCTTCATTTAGCCAACCACTCCTCAACAAGACACAGATTGTTGACGAATCAACAAAAAATTAAGAACTAGGTCATGAGTTAATCGCTCACACCTGTTGCTTAATTTCTTGGTTGACGAATCAACAAAAAGTAAAAATTAGGTCATAAGTAAAGCATTCGCAATTATTGCTTATTAAGCAATTTGTGCGAATTAAGTAATAAGCTATTTTATTTATTGTATGTTTTGCAATTACGGTTGCATTTTATTTTGTATAAAAGAACAAATCAATTTAAATAAAATCAGTTGTTGAAAGTAAATCAACGTCTCACCAATCTTTTATTGTTTCCCCCCACCAGTGGTAAGGGACATAAAGATTGTTAATGAACATTCTTGTTCATTTTTGGTCCTTCCAGCCGGATATTTGAAATTTCCCCCACCAGTGGTAAGAGTTTCAAATATACCTAACAAAGAGACTTAAAGTCTAAGATTGAAGTTAATACAAACGTACCGAGGTTTTTAACATCGGAGTGAAGTTAATACAAGCGTACCAAGGCTTTTAACATCGGAGTGAAGTTAATACAAGCGTACCGAGGCTTTTAACATCGGAGTGAAGTTAATACAAGCGTACCGAGGCTTTTAACATCGGAGTGAAGTGAATGCAAACGTACCATCGAAGTGAAACAAGCAGAAGCGTACAGAGGCGCTCAACAAATCAAATCAAATGCTAACAGAGGACATCATGGAGATCGAACAAGTTATCCAACATCAAAAGGACATTGAAGGTGAGATCCAGAGGATCTGGATAAATTTTAAAAAGGATTCTTCTACAAGATATTCAAAGCAGTATTTTGAGACACGTTTGGAAAATTTGCGTCAGAAATGGGACGCATTTGAAAACAACAATGATAATCTGATCAAGAATTTGAAGCCTGATCATGAATATATCACAAAAAATTACTATGGCCAGTTACAACAAAGACGGAATGAAATAGAAAATCGATTTAATAATGAATTGGAAATAATAAGACAAATGGAGCAAAAGGAAGCTCAAGTATCAAGGCATCAAGTTATAAGAGGGCAAGAAGAAGCTCGGTCACTAAGGAATCAAGACATAAGTATCAATGACGAAGTCACCATCACCGGACCATGTGATATTACGAACAAACGTTTAGCAATCTTAAGTACAAGTCTGTTGCAGATCAAAGAGACAATAGACTTAACGAAAAGTATTGAAACGTTACAGTTCAAATTGGAAAAATTGAAGAATTGTTGGGCAAAGATCTCACAATTAAACGATGAATGTCTGTTTAACGATGATGAAATAGACCAAGGAGATTTCATTCAACTGGAATCGATATACGAAGAAGTATATATCCAGTTACAAGAAGAACTGAACGTTCGCAGTCAAAACGTTTCAGAAACTACAACAACCGTAAGTAACAATATCAAACTACCACCGTTGAATGTACCAATATTCAACGGCAGATTTGAAGAGTGGTGTCCATTTTGGGAATTGTTCGACCGGTTAGTTCAACAAAACCATAATCTAGTGGATGTAGAAAGGATGCAGTACTTAAAAGAGAAATCTACGGGGAGAAGCCGCCAGACTTATCAATCATTTAACAATAACAGCGAACAATTATACAGCGGCAGTTGAACTACTGAAACAAAGATACAACAATCCAGCAATACTTGTGGACAATCTTATCAATAAGTTATTGTCGCTCAGAGCTATAAGAAATGAGAATGCACAGAATTTAAAAACATTAGTGGATTCTTCTACAGAAGTGTTATATGGTATACGTAATTTAAATGTGGACACGTCAAGTTGGGATCCACTAATTATACAGATACTGCTTCCAAAATTAGATGGTGAAACCAGAAAATTATACCAACATTCAAGAGAGGCATCAACACAAATACCAAAATTGAGCAGCTTATACGAGTTTATCGAGAGCAGAGTTAGAGGATTGGAGGCAATTCGTGACACAAATCGCGAAAATAAGAATAATTTTCGACCAACAGCAGTAAATACAAAAACGCATGTAAATACAATACATACGCTATGTTTAGTGTGTAATGGTGACCACCAATTGATTCGATGTTCAAAGTTTCTGAATATGAAGGTGCCGGAACGTCGTGAAAAGATTATGAGCGCCAAATTATGTTTTAATTGCCTTCAGAGTGGGCATTTTAGTAAGTTGTGCTTGAATAAAAAAAGATGTGCAATTTGCGACAAAAAACACCATCAACTTATTCATGAACAAGTTAAGGGCAAACCAACATTCACAAATAACATAAGTAAACAGAGGATGCCAACATTGAAGAACACCACAGAGACCGAAGTGGCAGCGTCATACAACATCCAAAAGGAAAAAACTGTTTTACTAGCAACAGCAAAGGTAATTATAAGGACTAAAAAACAAGTTAATCCGATACGAGCGCTTCTTGATCAAGGATCACAATCTTGTATAATAACAGAACAATTAGCAAGATCAATCAGAGCACCATTGACCAATTATCAAACTCATGTAAAAGGTATCAATGGACAAACAACAAGCGTTATAGCCAAATGCTTATTAGAAATTCAATCTATACATGATGAAAATAAGAGCTGTCATATCGAAGCAATAGTGTTACCAAAAATCACATCAAAAATGCCAAATGCAGAATTCACGCCAGGAAAATGGTCGCATATTGATGGATTGCAGTTAGCAAATCCTTGGTATGCTGAACCAAAGGAAATACAATTGTTAATCGGGTCGGACGTGTTACCAGAAGTGTTTAAAGAAGGATTAATTAAAGGGCCAGACAACTCTCCAATGGCTCAAAACACATTATTTGGATGGATATTATCAGGACCTTTAGATGTAGAGCGTACAATTACAAACAAAATAATGTTATGCTCCATGGCTTGCGAAAACAGCGACGAGTATTTAAAACGGTTTTGGGAATTAGAGGAAATTCCAAATGCAGACTTAAGAACAGTAGAAGAAAGGGGTTGTGAGCGACATTATGATTCAACTTGCACCCGCGATAAAACAGGACGATACATCGTTAGGTTACCACTGAAAAATGATCGAGAAACGTTAGGTGAATCCAGAAAGATGGCATTAAAACGGTTCTTTTCATTGGAAGAACGATTTAAGAAGAATCCAGCACTAAAGCAAGAGTATGTGAACTTTATGCAAGAGTATATCAAGCTTGGTCACATGAAGGAAGTTAATGAGAAACCAAAGACAAAGGTATATTATTTGCCGCATCATGCAGTTATTAAAGAAGACAGCACGACAACAAAACTTCGAGTGGTGTTTGATGCGTCCGCAAAAACGACATCAGGACAATCACTTAACAGTATTATGATGACAGGTCCTACATTACAAAAGGATTTATTCATTCTATTATTGCAGTGGAGAATGTTTAAAATAGTTTTTATGGCTGACATTGAAAAAATGTATCGGCAAATACTGATTCATCATGATGATAGAGATCTTCAACGAATTTTATGGAGAAACGATCAGAAAAAACCAATAAAAGAATACAAATTGAACATGATTACATATGGTACTGCATCAGCACCATATCTTGCTATCAAGACGTTGTTTAAGCTAGCAGAAGACGAGAGAATTAATTATCCTTTGGCAAGTGAAACCTTAAATGAAAAATTTTATGTAGACGATTGTTTGGGAGGCGCTAATACGATTAAAGAGTGTAAACAAGTACAAGAAGAATTAATCCAATTATTGCGGAAGGGAGGTTTTAATTTAAGAAAATGGGCATCAAACGAACCGGAAATGTTGACGAATATCCAGATAAAAGACATTGAACCAGGGTTAGAGATGCAATTTAACAACGACCAAGCGATTAAAATTTTAGGAATAAAATGGTGTCCTAAATTGGATCAATTTGAATTTAAAATAAATACCACGTCATTCAGCTCAAAATACACAAAAAGAGCAATTCTAAGTGATGCTGGAAAACTATTCGATCCATTTGGTTGGTTGTCACCTGTAACCATTAAAGCAAAAATTATGATACAAAAATTGTGGATGCTAGGAATTAGTTGGGATACAGAGATCCCACCCAATCTACAGGCACAATGGGAAGAATTTAAATTGAGATTACCTGCAGTTCAGAAAATAACCATGAAAAGATGGACACAACGTTATAATTTATGGTTATTTCACAATCAGCGATATAGAAGAATATGAAATCATTAGATTCAACACGATTCCAGAAAGAATTAATGATAATATATATCAAGAAATCGAATTGTTAACATCCACATTTGGCATCAATTATAGCAGTAAAAAATATTTTGACGTTACTATCAGCCAAATGGAGACTGCAACCAAGCTGAATAATGGTACTAGGTTTCTTCATCCAACAATATTTTACAACATTGACGAGAGTTTCAATTGTGTAATTAAGCAATTGTATAATAAATTAACATTCGATAACTGTCCGTCAAAAAGATTTCAAGTTATACAACCAGTTTGGAAAAAACTTTGGACGCCCAATGCTTGGATATTCATTACACAAAATTTAACGACAATTCATGTAATTTGTCATATTGAACGTGAAGAAGTAGTTCTGAATTATACGGGAATCATTCATATCTCTCCAGATTGTGTAATACATTCTAAGACTATTCCACTGGAAGGAAGAATGATGAAAGAATTTCAATCAATCACACACCACATTAAACCAATCAGCATGCAAAACATTTCAATACCTGACAGTAGAATGCATAAAATTACAAATGAAACCGTTATCCCATTGGTGCAAGATTTATCAACTATGCTTTTGTACTCCGCAAGGGATGCTCAAGACAACATGGACCAAGTCAACGAAATATCTTGGAAAACAATAATGACTCATCAATATTGGAAGAAATGGGTCATCGGGGCTACAGCTATAATAATAATCATATTCGTTGGAGTATTATATTACATGTGTTACATTAAACCGAGAATACCATCAACATCAGCCAATAATCATACATCACCGTCCACTTACGATGTCGCTTGGTCTTGCACATAAACAAAACCTGCTGAGGCTAACAAATCTAGACCAACTCGTAATACCAACGCAGAGCCGGCATAATGTTGACGAATCAACAAAAAATTAAGAACTAGGTCATGAGTTAATCGCTCACACCTGTTGCTTAATTTCTTGGTTGACGAATCAACAAAAAGTAAAAATTAGGTCATAAGTAAAGCATTCGCAACTATTGCTTATTAAGCAATTTGTGCGAATTAAGTAATAAGCTATTTTATTTATTGTATGTTTTGCAATTACGGTTGCATTTTATTTTGTATAAAAGAACAAATCAATTTAAATAAAATCAGTTGTTGAAAGTAAATCAACGTCTCACCAATCTTTTATTGTTTCCCCCCACCAGTGGTAAGGGACATAAAGATTGTTAATGAACATTCTTATTCACAGATGAAGTGACAAATTCTGAGAGGTCATTTTGGGGTTTCTATGTACACTAAGGATTGCAGTATCGTGTGCAAAAGTTTAGATTTTATGGTTAAAAAGGAGAGGAAGATCGGCTGTGTATAGTAAATATAAAAACAGCCCAAAAACACTTCCCTGAGGAACACCTGCAATTATTTGAACTTCTCTTGTAGTAAAAGAGTTATGTTTCAAACGAAATTTTCTAGAAGTTAAGTAAGAAAGAAATAACCGATGCATGTTTTCAGGGAGTTTTAATTTAATTTTCGAAAGCTTGAGCAACGTCCAGAAAAATGGCAGTGCAATATTTTTTCTCCTGGAAAGCAGTGTGAATTTCATTTGCAATTCTGTGGACTTGTTCTATTGTTCCGTGATTTTTCCTGAAACCAAATTGGTGATAAGGTATTATTTTATGATGCTTTATATAAGGTTCCAATTTAGCGAAAGTTATTCTATCGAAGATCTTCGGTAAGTGAGGTTTTGGAATCATTTTTATCAGAGAAACTTTCCATTGCTTTGGATAATAGCCAGTGGCCAGAATGCTATTAAATAATATGGTTAAAAATACAATTAAATTGTCAGGGAGAAGTTTTATCATTTTGCCTGTATTATGATCAAGACCTGGTGTCTTCTTAGGATTTGAATTTGTTTGAATTGCTTCTTTTACTTCATAAATACTTAGTTTAATTGGAGCTTTCACCTTTACTGGAAAATGAACTCTAGGGTGAAAGTTGACGACTTCTGGATTTGGTTGAAATACTGTTTTTAAGTGGTCAACTAGAAGAGATCCCTTTAAATTTTCACTTTTAGCCCATGATCCATCCAGTTTTCAGATGGGAAGATCATTTTAAATAGGTATTTTCAATTTTTTGATGCTTTCCACAAAGTATAATTTTTTATTGGGTCCAATATTCTCTAAATAGTGCTGTACTGCCAAACTTCTATGATTGTTTAGTGTATCTTTAAGTAATTTAGTGAATTCATTAAGTCTTTGTTTAGCGTTAGGAGAATGAAAGTTTTGCCATTCACGTCTTGCTTGTCGCTTTGCTAAAATTAACTTCTCAATTTCATTGTGAGAAACAACTTTCGAACGAGTGATTTTTCTGTAAGTTAAGGCATCATTTATCGTATTGTTTATTGTTTTGTTCAGTAATTCCACCGCTTTATCAATACTTGAATGACATCTAAGAGCTGTAATTTGAGATATGCGATTCTGCATTATGTTAGTGTAATGTGACCAGCTGTTTTAAGCTAATTTTTTTTTGCGGATCTGACATTCTGTATCGTTTCTATTTAGTTTTAATAAAATTAAAATAACCGAAGAATGATCTGAGGATAGATCAAATAATGGTACTGCAGTAATATCTTTTCTACTTAGTCCTTTAATAACACCAAAGTCAATCAAGTCAGTTATTTAATGTTGATCAGTTTGCCAATACGTTGGTTGACCTGAGGCAATAATATCAAGATCATTCTTAAATGCCATGTAAAGCTGTCTGCCTCTTGGTGAGATTAGTCTCGAACCCCAAAAATGTGTTTTGCATTAAAGTCACCAGCCGCTACAAATTTGGGACCTAACATATTAAAAAATGCACGAAATTGGGCCATAGTTACAGTAAGCCGTGGAAGACAGTAAATAGCAGAAAAACTATTTTATTCAGACCAGTTTTTACACAAACTGAGGTAGCTTGCATGTGTTTTTCAGTGTATTGCTCTAGTTCAATGTGGTGAATAGTTTTCTTGATTAATACACCGGTACCTCCCTGAGCTTTTTTGTGCGGATGTTTGGTGTCATAAAATTTATAACCATTTATCCGAAAACAATTTTTTTGCTTTAAGTGAGTCTCTGATAGCAGCATAATATCTATGTCATTTCTATATAGATAATCTTGAATTTCAAGTGAGTGTTGGCATAAACTGTTAGCGTTCTAATGGCAAACAGTTAATGCGTTCATTTTGACTTTATCAATTCAGCCATTAAAGTTTGATTTTGAATCATACTTTGCATAATGTTATTCATCAGTTTTTGCATCCAATCCATAAAATTGTCCATTTTTTGAATAAAGGATGAAAGTATAGATTCAGTATTTGAAGACATATTGGTGATTTCAGAATTGTTGTTAATAGCTGGAGTATTCTTAACAACGTTTGCATAAGATTGTACATTTGGTTTGTTAATTGAAGAAGTTGTTGCATTATTAATTATATTAGTAAATTGATTAGGCGAAATATTCGCGGAATTTGCTGTATTCACATTATTTTTAATTCTTTGTTTTAGTTCAATGTATACTGGGCAACCTCTTTAATTCGTTGTATGGTTTCCACCGCAATTTGAGCAACATTTAGCTTTGTCCTCAACTTTGTTCTTCGGACATTTTTCAGTTTAGTGATATTCTGAACATATCACGCATATACTTTCTAGTTTGCAATATGTTCTTGGGTAGCCATATTCTATTGTGCTTGTAAAAGAACCAAATGGAAATTTACGTGTGTGTTTGAACCCAAGAAATTTAAACAAATCAGTCGTGAGACCACATTATCCATTTCCAAATGTAAACAATTGTAAAACGCAATTAAGTGGTTCCAAATATTTTAGTTCTCTTGATGCTAATTGTAGTTTTTGGATGATTCCATTGAATAAAAATTCATCTATGTTATGCACATTTAATACGCCTTTTGGGCGATACAGATTTTTACGACTACCATTTGGAATAAATGCTACTCCTGAAATATTTCATAGCGAAATGGTCAAACTTTTAGGTAATATTAATGGTCTCATTATTTACATAGACGATTTTCTAATACATTCGTCTACAATTGATGGTCATAACAAAATTTTAAAAGAAAGTGAAGCCTCATGTAATTGTGTAGTAGTCATATACCCACTGCCACTTATATTAATTAATAGAGAAAGTCAATAATGTTTTGTTTAGATATTTATTGATTCTTGTTTTTACGTTTTAGTTCTTTAGCTGTATCTTTTGTATACACTACCACTTCGTTCGGCTGTCAGCCGTCAGATACACAGGGGGATAAACACGTACTTTGTGTATGTGCCGTAACTGTTGTATACTGTCGGTAGTGTGATTACATCCTCTACGCGGGGGCGGCTAGAAACAGGTTCATAGTATGGTCATGTCTCTACTATGGGTGCTGGCTAATTGTAATCGGGCGGACGCATGTAAAAGCGTCTTAAATCAAAGCTCAAATCCAAGGTGGAACAGCATATGCCGAGGGATGAATGGCCATGGATAGTTGGTCTTTAATATGCGAACTCTGGATACCTGTCGACCTCCAGTTTGAATTTAGACTTCTCACGATAAACGGGCTATGTCGTGTGTGACCTTCCAATATAAATAATTTTTGTATGGATAAATTAAATAATACAAATGAGCTTGATGTCACTCTAACGGCATCATCTTCAAATGATTCCTTTACGGAATTATCTGTAGCTGAGTGTATGCCGGCCACTGGGCTGGAAGCCTCCACCCATTTCGACAGCGCTACTGTGTGCGTCAAAATGGACCCGGACGGGCCACCGTCTACTTCTCCGCTTGCGGAAACGGTGTACGCACCAGCAGTAACTTCGTCGCGATCTCAGGTAAGGCGGCAGGAAATTATTGAGGTTTTGTCTTCAAATTCCAAAGCCGTTGAATCTGGTGATTACGACACCGGCAGTGTGGTATCACAAAAATCCAGTTTAACTGTCGTTGGCTCCAAAGTTGGCAACCTCACTTTGGAATTCTCAAAATTTACTCACTTTAAAAGAAGTGAGCGAAGAAGGTTTAAGGCGGCCATGTCTTCAGGCCATAGCAGGGCAGAGGCTCTTAAAATTGCTATGCAACATCCGCCTGCGAACAAGCGGGTCAGATCGGAGGAGCAATCCCCCGGTTTGTTTCCCGCCAAAAAACACAAGGTGGCTCACGTGGGGCTCACCAAGCCATCGTACAGCCTAGCTGTTAAAGGCGTACGCTTAGGCTTCACGTCGGCCGATTCGGCTGGCACTTCGCTCTCTACAGAGCAAATTACGCTTCTCCAAGAAGCCATTATTGATGTTGCTATTGAGCAACACAACGACGAAATACAGCCGGAGTTCGAAGGGTGTTTACCTAGAACGGGGTGGCTGCTTATCGTCTGCAGTGATACAAAAACTGCGAAGTGGGTCAAGCAATTTTCAGGCCACAAACGCGGACTCGCTATAAACGCGGTAGAGGAAAAGGATTTCCCACGAACTCACGTCGTTCGTGGCTATTTTCCTCAGAGTTTGACACTGTCAAACGAAAAAGTTCTGGCTACCATTGGTACCCAGAACAAATTCTCCACCAAGCGGTGGAAGGTGATACGTAGGCTGACGCAGGATCAGATGCTTCACCTAGTCTTCGTCATTGATGACGAATCTATGAGAAAGTTATCCGAACTTAAAGGTAGGATTGCATACCGGTTCGGACACTTGAGATTGATGCTAAAGGGAACCGCCCCCGCTCATTCTCACCTCATAGATAATACTCCAAAGGTGGTTCAGGATGATAGTACTATCCAATCATCCTCGGCTTCGGCAGCATGCCTTACGGATGTTTGCCCAA